TAAAAGAAACTTGGGAGACTTGCTAACTCAGAAAACTTAAATCAGCCACTTGGGCGATATGAGTAGCAAACTTAGACTCAATTCTTTCAACTCTTACGGCTCTGATACCAGTTGGAGTGCCTGATAGTTCAATGATACCAGAAGGCCTGCGTGAGTATATACCAGAAGGGGACTAGAACCTATAATCTAGAAGAACTAGACTAAAAAGGATTTTTAACTAGTTATAAATGAAAACTTGACTTTAAGGGAGTTGGTTTATGTATTGGAGACTTTTGAAGATATGGAAGAGGAAATAGGTTTGTTAGCTACGGAAGAGAATGAAGAGTATGACCAAGTAATTGACTTGGAAGATGACTTGAGCAACTAACAAATAAAAAATGGAGAAATAATGAATAAAATAAGTTATTGAATAAACACAAATTGAAATTAATAAATTAATCATAAACTCAAAAGAAAATTAACATATGAGAATAAATTGTATAAATAAAAAATTATGAGGGCACTAAATTTAATTAAATAAAGAATATAAATTAATGAAAATAATTGGACTAACATAAATTAGAATTTGAAAGAACACAGAAAAAAATATTAATTGGAAATAATATATATATATATATATATATATATATATATATATATATATATATATATCCAAAAACATGCATTAAGAGCTAGAGCCCACCCTAGTATGAGAGTGGTTACGCCCTTGGTCCCAAGGACTGCTAACTTGCATTAATGTGAGGTACCAAATTTGGAAGTAAGGTTAAATTGTGTGTTGTAAGGAACTTTTCAAAGAAATGACTTAACATTGAATGAATTGTCTTGATAAGGGTTAAGTTATATTTATAAACTCAATTATCAACCAACACAAACCCTTGCGAAAAAGTTATAATGTCTCATTCAAATTCGACTACATAGAACCTTTCAGTTATAATTATTTTAATGTTTCTCATGTCGACACATATTTTCCCATAATAATCTAGTAAATATATTATTTATTTATGAATTGACGTGCACTTCCATATCATTAGTATGTGTATATCGGTGCACCACTTTACATTTCATGGTGCACCTTCACATATAATACATACATTGTAAGAATATCATGTTATTATAATCATATTGAAGGAAACTTTGGTTTATTCAAAGATTCATTTAAAACATCAACGTGATAACATACATTATACATGATGTTTCTCTCTTTTCAACTGAGGTGGCTGATGGAAGGAACTTTTGATCTTTCTTGTTTTGGATGCATAGGTGTGCCACCACCAAGTACTGATTGGCTTAAATGAAAAGGGTCGAATTGTTGTGTTCGTGCTTCTGACTTGTAATCAGCTGATTGATCGATCAAGCAAAGAACCTCATCTTGGCTTAGGTTCTTTCACTTCCTCAACGTCAAGGATGGTTGAGCTTTGTATGTCTATTTTTAGGGTTTGGGGATTTTAGTGATAATGATGTAATTATTGTGATTAAACTAAATGACAAGACAGTAAATGTAAGAAAGTGGATTAAAGCGATAATTAAACTTAAATTAAGATAAATCATAAATAAGAACGATAAGAACGATAAATTGAAACAAACTTTAAATTAAAGTAAACTTAATGAAAATTCAAGAACAATGGAATCTAAATTTCAAGAAAATAAACTTACACTAAGGAATTGAAGTGCTTGGAATGTAAAACCTAAACTAGGAATTCAAAAGTGCAAGAGAAAAATATAGGTTTTGTGTTGATCGGACATGTCCTTGTGTAACACCCCGACCCAAAAAATTGTTTTTATTTAATTATTTAATTCTGTAATTACATTTTTGCTTTTAGAGGTAAGGGCACTTTAGTCACTTTTTGTTTGAAAAGGAATTTGGGGAATTGAGTAGCACCTTTGAGTGGAGCTTGTGAATACGAGTTTGTAGACAAGCAACATGCTCAATTCCGATTTAAAACGGAGAAGTTATGATATACGGAAGTGCAGTGGCACAACCATAAATATTACGAATTCCCAATTTAAAGTTCAGACCCGATTCCTTTTTTTTTTGTTCTTCTGGTTTTCCCTCTCTCTCTCTCTCTCTCTCTCTCTCTCTCTCTCTCTCTCCGCATTGAATAGTGGCACTGCCGCTTCTACTTCAAATTTTGGCGCCATCTGACCTCAGTTGCCATCGCAACCTTCACGAAATATCTTCCTCTCGTTCTCCTCTACAAAACCCACCCAAGATTCGATCGAGTTAGCAACTGAAGAACTCGTTTCGACAACGAGAAGAACTTAGGTTTTCCGCGCAATGTTTTGCTAATTTCCGGCAACTCCGACCACCATTTCCGTTGAGTGAGGTACCCAGGCACAATGTATCGCTCAGGATGAACTCGCTCAAGGTTGAGCTAACATTGGACTTGTTGTGAGTGAATATTTATTTTTAAATGAGCATTGTTTTTAAAATATGGAATTGCTTACATAAATGTGATTTGATTGAAAATTGGTTTATTTTCGGTTAATGAGGTTGTGGGATTTTATTATCGGGCTAGTCTTGGCTTTGACAATGTGATATGGGATTTCCAAGGATTATTATTTTATTGTTATTATTATTAAAGTATATGGATTTGGGTTTCAGACTATGGTGATATTGGTTATTTTTATGGAATTTGATTATGGAATTTGGATATATTTTGGGATATGGGATTTATGTGGCTACACACCATTTGTTGTACCTTCCCCTTGGTTCGATATGGAAAAGATGATCGAATTATGGAAAAGAATTAAAGTTGGTCTTTGGGACCCATTAGGGCACACATATATTCTTTGAGAGGTGTGTCAAGATGTTAGTCTATATGTATGATTGGATCAGCCGCACGTACGATGCAGGTCCCGGCATGCGTGCTGGGAAGCAATAGTCCCCCAGTTGGACTGCTTATCCCTAGCCACATGTGCGATGTAGGATCCCTGCATGTGGTTGAGAACAAACAATCCCCGAGTTGGATTGTTTTCCCTACTACATATCTTGATGTGGTGAATATGTGTGCATGTGTAATGTGTGTATATATATATATATGTGCGGATTTATTTCCAGGTTGAGGTTTCTTGAGCATGTGCATTGAGAGTACTCTACATAGGTATGAACATTTGAAATCAATTTTGGAATTGAGATCAAATATTTGGAAATTACTTCGTACATTGTATTTTTGTAAGAGTATGGTTGTGGGAAAAAGGATTATGGGTTTTGATGATTATATTTTATATTAACGGGTTTACTTTGGTGGTGTTGAATTTACAGTTTGCCAATAAGGATTAAATTAACAAGTTTACATTATTTTCTAAAATAGAGGGGGTTATTTATGTTGAATATAAACTAAGTTTAACACTTTGTTTTTGTCTACTCACATTTTCTATTTTGCGCCCCTCAGGTTCTAGATATCCAAGGTCGAGACCACCACGTCGAGGCATCGCTGCTATCCGCATTGTAGGGATTCCTCCTTTATCTTTTTCTACTTTCATTGTTCCCGGGTTGTAAATTTAATCTTTAGTTGCTCTGCTTGCTCGTTTGAGTTTGAGTAGAGGGCGTGAAGCCCATTTGAATAGTCTTAATTGTTGTGCGTGCCTTACCATGTGCATGTTGGAAGTTGGGTTTGTTCTGGCGCTTCTTTGCAGGTACTGTAAATTAGGAAATGTTCCAGTTATAGGGGAGACTCTGCCGAAATTTCTATAGAAGTCGAATTATCTATCAGTTTAAATTAGGCCTAAAGGGCTTTTTAGTAAAGTGGGTCCGGCATCGGTTAGATGACAGACAGGAAGCAGGGTTCGTCACAAATTCCAAGGGGGAATCCGGGGTAGGTCCTGTCAACTTAGTATCAGAGCATTAGGTTTAAATTCCTGTAGACTCAGCACCTCGTGTGCATCCTTAGTATCGTTAAGTGTAGTGTGTTCTGTTACGTAATGATGCCTTTTTGACGTGGATGAAAAATATTTGTGAAAACCTCCAACAAGCATGTAAACACAAGGAGTATGGTATTTACCCTAGACAAATTACAAATCCTAATCACAAGAAGCAAGCCTCAAATTAAGTATGGTATTTACTCTAATTTGCATCCGATTAACTCAATTAAAAGTGTAGATGGTGATCAAGCATCAAGATAATCAACCAAGTTATTAGGCACAATGATTAAGAATCTAACATCAAACGGCAATCAATAGATATGTAAAATAAGAAAACTAGATTATCATACTAGGGCTACATCATGCCCTAGCAATAGAAAATTAGTTACACATAATCATAGAATTCGGCATAAGCAAAAACATGAAGAAGAAAAAAAAATTAAATTTAACCAATTGTGATACTCTTCCAACGTCTCCAATTTCTTCTAGTCTTTGCATGACCCCAAAGGAGTTGTTTCTCATGCTTAAATAAAACACCACACGTCTATTCCTACCTTAGCTGGGCTTTTACAACAGCCCAAAAATAAAGAAAAACCTAATTAAAACATAAATACAAAATGGGTAAGTAATTGACTCCTCTTCCTACTTTGACTGGGATAACAAGTCAGTTTCTTTGCAAGCACGTTTGGGGTCGTTCCTCCTCCAGGAAAATTCGAGAAAAATATGTAAATTGTAGGTGTTTGTCTTATCTTTCCAGCCATATATCGTACACCTTGAGGAAAATCAGGAAAGTCATCAAATAATCATTCTTCCACAAAAGCACAGTTTTGATGGGATTGCACCTTATGCTGACTTAACTTCGAAGACTGCTCTCATTGGCTGCTCCGAAAATTCTAGAAAAATTCCACAATCATCTTCAAGATCTTAGCTTTCATCTCCAACTGGTCTTGTATAAAAACTCCACCAAAAAGTCGTATTTCCGTTGAAAACCAATTACTTACACCGGAAAGCTGAAAATTGAGAAAATAAAGTAATAAGTCCTTTTAAAATCAAATTCTCCTACAGAAACTGAGTATAAAAAGTAAATAAATGTGTAAATTTATGGACTTATCACTCAACCTTGATTTGGAATTGGTCGACCCCGACTTAGAGTCAAAACCTGACTTAGAGTTCTAGACCCTAACTTGGAGTCGAAAACCAGCTAATTGGATGCTTTAATCCCGCCTAATTGGAGAACTTATGTTTGCAAGACAAGGTGACCATACATGTGGCCCAAGGGGCACTTTTTCCAATTGACCCAAAAAAGGGCCACTTTTTCCCAATTTAAAAAATCTTTTTGAGATGTAATTTTTTTTGTAAGATATGTATTATTGTTGCTTTTGATTGACAAAAGTTGATGTCGTGGATTTGTCCGCTAAGTGAGATCATGTGGTCTATTCTTTGCCGTGTAATTTTGGTTGTCGATTGTCCTAGTGATACCGTTGTTCTTGGGTGGTTTAGGGATTATCGGTGATAATTCTTTAATATATTAGTCTTAATTAATTAATTTCGGTGATTTTATTTATTTATTTATTTATTTTTCCGAACGATAGCACTTCGATTTTATTTATTTAAAAAATGAAAGTTCTGTCATGTCACATTTATATCCATACAATAAGCCGAAGTTCATCCCAGAAAAGGAAACAAATCCTCACTGAAAAGCTATATCAAATATATCCAAGGAGTTCATGCAACTTATCTGATACGTAGTGGGATTGATCTGTGGCCATTCGTTTTATAAGTCCTTAGAGTAAGTGATAAGAAACCTTTGGATTAGAAAGACTCAGCACATGCACTTACTTTTACTCTGTCCCTCTTTTTGTGTATGCACACCACAATTTGCAGAACACAACTCACATGTTTAACAATTAAAATTATATTTTTCTTGACCGAGAAAAAAAATTATAATTATATTTCTCACCATTTTTTTTTTCAAGTCAGTCTTGGAAAGAGAAAAGAGGTCAATTTATTAGGTAGTCACTGGAGTCTCTCTTGGAAAGACTTGTGTAATGTCTTGACTTGTGTAATGTGAAATTCAAGAAAGAAGAAAATTGAGTCTTTAACTTACTAGTGTTTTGGTGTGATGTGACTCAAAAGACTTCTGATACCTAAGACTTAGAATAAGCGATTGCAAAGAAGTAACTTTCTGGGTCATCCTAAGTGGAGTATGGGCTGAGCACGTGGGGAAGGCATGGGCTGTCAGGAGACAGGGGGTAGTGGCCTGGTGAAATGTCAGGACGCACGTGGTGATCTGTTATCAAAGGTGTGCGTGGTGGTCTGCACATGGCTGAGGCAGTAGGAGTTGGCTAGCACATATTGCTCGGGTATGACATTTCGGCTAGGCCATCTTGGTTTAGGCAATATTGAAACGGGTAGGACATTTCGGGTAAGCCATATTGGCTAGGCAATATTGAAATGGGTAAGACATTTCAGGTAGGCCATATTGGCTAGGCAATATCTGGTAAGCCATTCTTGGTGGGCTATTTCTGGTAGGACAGTTCTGGTAGGACATTTCTAGTACCAACCAGATATGTATAACAACAAGTTTTATTAACAATTGACTTCGTTTGATGGAGGTTTGGCTTTTATACAGTCTCTGGGTGGCTGATTTCTTGCCTTTTAGCCTAATGGGTATGTTGAGACCCTTTATTTCGGCTATCATGTTCAATTAACAAACTTATGGTTGAGAGTGTTATGAACTATTTTATTTAAGAGAGGTAGGGCATTAATACGTGTATGGGTTAATTACTCAAATAATCCTCAAGCTTATACCCGATTTACATTTTGGTCCCTCCATTAAATTATTCGTTCAAATGGTCCATCAACTCTATATTATTCGGTCAATTGGTCTTACCGTTACATTATGTCAATGTTGCCGTCAAATGTAAGGGTAAAACCGTACATGACCGTCTTATGTTCCCCAAAAAGGTGATAAAATGGTGATACATAGGTGATACAGTGGTGATAAAGGGGTGATAGAAATCGCTATTTGTGTTTACCTTTGGGTAATTAACCGGAAAAAAAAACCTAACTCCCAGCCCCCAACCCCCATCCCGATAACCCCATTGCCCCAGTGCGGCAGTGCCCCATCTTCTCTTCCTCATAGCCCACCATATCTTCCCCTCCCTCCATGTAATTTTTTCAAAATTTATTTTTTTTTGGAAAAACAAATTGAGAGGAAGGAGAGAAATGCTATAACTTTCTAATAAGAAGCAAAGAAGGAACCACCAACTATGAGGGAGGGGTAGGAGGCGGTATGGAGATTTCAACCGGAAGGGGTTGACCTGTACCTGAACTACCACAGCTTCTACAAAATGTGGGACTCGACCTAGCACAGCTCCGGCACCCGACATCAACATCGGACCAGCATAAGCATAAGCAAGAGACCTGACCTGTGCCATTGCAACTGGGGCACTTGGGAAACGGGCCGACCATGGGCTTCTGGTCCATGACCGATTTGACAAGTACCGCCCCGGCCAAGAAGCCGAGTCCCGTAGCCAACTGGGTCAACACAATCGGACCACCCATTGTTGATAAGGAGCGAGAAGATAGCAGAGAGAGGGAAGAAAAGAAGCGAAAGGCGTAGAGAGAAGGAAGATTTTTTTAAAATTAATTTTAAAAATAAAGAAAATTTTGTATTAATTAATTTTTAATCGTATATTTTTATTTTTTAGTTTTCAAAAGTCTTATTTACCCCCACAAATGTAGCATGTGCTGCTCACATGACTAAATTTAACAGAAAATGTAACGGTATGACCAAAGCGCCGATTAATAAAGAGTTGGTGGACCATTTGAATGAATAATTTAATTGAGGGACCAAAATGTAAATCAAATATAAGTTTGAGGACCATTTGAGTAATTAACCCTACGTGTATTGTACATTTGAATTTTTTTTTAAATGTATTTTACATAGTCTTTTAGATGTATACAAAAAACGGAAGTTATTTTTTGGGTATACAATGCTCAAAACGAATAAAATTATATTTGTTGGTTTTTGAATTTTTTTGTGGATGCACACCACAATTTGCAGAACACAACTCACATGTTTAACAATTAAAATGATATTTTTCTCACCATTTTTTTCCAAGTCAGTCTTGGTAAGAGAAAAGAGGTCAAGTTATTAGGTAGTCACTGGAGTTAGCTCAAGTAGAGAAGGTGTATAAATTCCACACTCTCTTGGAAAGACGTGCATAATGTGAAATTCAAGAAAGAAGAAAATTGAGTCTTTTACATACTAGTGTTTTGGTGTGATGTGACTCAAAAGACTTCTGATACCTAAGACTTAGGGCCAGTTTGGCATTGTTGTGCTATGAAAATAATCGCTGTCAGATTTGCTGTGAGAAAACACAGTTTGGCGTTTGATAAACTTTTTTGTTAGAAGTGTAGTTGGTATAGATTCTCGTATAATAATAAAAAAAAAATGATGCTGTGAGAAAACACAGTTTGGCGTTTGATAAACTTTTTTGTTAGAAGTGTAGTTGGTATAGATTCTCGTATAATAATAAATAAAAAATGATGCATAATCATTAAACCCAGCGCCTCTTTGAAACAGATTCCTGTATAATCAGAAAATGAAAGCACCTTATTAGCTGCTTTCCCAAATAGCTTTCTCTCACAGCAATTTTTAATAATAAGTGATTTTCTCATAGTTTACCAAACGGGCACTTAGAATAAGCGATTGCAAAGAAGTAACTTTCTTAGTTTTATTAACAATTAACTTCGTTTGATGGAGGTTTGGCTTTTATACAGTCTCTAGGTGGCTGATTTCTTGCCTTTTAGCCTAATGGGTATGTTGAGACCCTTTATTCCGGCTATCATGTTCAATTAACCATAGGACTTGGGATGTGAATAAGTTTAATGTACGTAATATTTGGGCTACCACTCACGTAACGGTTGTAATGGCATGTGACTAGACCACTGTTAGAGCATTCATAGTGGGGAGGTGTAAATTCGGAGGTGTAAAGCCACTTTTACATTTCCTTTACACCTCCGGGAGATGCAAATGTCATTTTTGCTCAAATGAGTTGGATGCAAATTCAAAGATGTAAATCCAATTTTCTTGTATTAATTTGTTTGCTGTGTTAAATTTTTTTTGTGTTAATATTTTATGTGTTAGGTTTAATTATTTTTTCTAAACAAATTGACTTAAAAATTTTAAAATTCCGACAAAAGATAATTTCATTCAATATGATGTAAATAAAATTAATCTGAACCGTCGGCTTTGATATGAATTTATTCTTCACCATTGATCAATTTTAGTTGTTAGTTTCATATTTCAATTTGAATGAAATCTACATTAGAGAGTTGTTGGAGAAGAACTTTGTACATTTGCATCATTTTAATAACTTCCCCATTTTAATAAATCTCAATCACGCCCTGGGCCCACCATTTTAATAACTTCCCCATCTTTTAGGCAGGTTTCCTCTCTCCTCTCTCTTGGCTTTTTTGTTACGAGACCCACTTGGCTGGGTGTAAAATTAGATGTACATTTGCATCTTTTTTCCCATCTCACGGTTGTGATGTACATTTACAGTCATATACATCTCCCAATTACAGGATATTCCGACAACCAAATGTGTATATCTAACATACACCTCTACACACACCTTACAACTGTGGATGCTCTTATAAGAGCTAGCATGTTAACAGTGGCCTCATTAAAACCTTCATAGGAAAACCTTTTTAGGTAAACCATATGGGAAAACCCCGAGCTAGGAAAGAGTGTCACACATGCAGCAGACTAACAAGAGAGTCCAGACAAAACAAAAATACAGAACAATCACCTCTAAAACAAAACTACCCCACCGACAAACACAAACTTAGGGCTGAGAGTGTTATGAACTATTTTATTTAGGAGAGGTAGGGCATTAACCACACAGAGAACACTTAAGTGGACGGATTATCTAAATAAAAGTGAGAAAGCAAGTAATTGGAGAATCCTTTGTCGCATGCTTTTTAGTTTATTTGCAGTACCTCTCATGACTCATCACAATCACAATTAATTAACAGATAATAAGGCTTAGTGCATGTTAGTTTTAGGTGAAAGGTGTGCATCAAAACTACTCATGCTAGCCCATGGGCGCGTATGCTTGTTTTGGAGCAGCAACAACAATAACAAATTAATTCCTGACAAAAAACAAATAAATTAACAAC